AGAAGGTTTCGCTCTCTTCCTCGCCCCCTCCCTCTGACTCTGTCACTACATCCCCTCCCATTTCAGTGGTTGGACCCCCTGTCCCAGATATGGAGGTTTCTTCCACCCCCGATTCCCTCTCGGTTGCTGCCCTTGCTGAGGTGCACTCCCTGATTTCTGCCCCCCCCTCCTCCTCCAGCTGTCCTTGCTTGCCCCTCTCAGTTGTCTCCTCCTCTGGACCCCGTCAGTCTGCCTCTGGTCTGTTCTCTCGCTCCCTTCCCTCTCTCCTTACTAAGTTTACCCATGCCCCCTAACCCTGATTTTGCTGACCCTGCTCCTGAGATTCTTTAATAAACTGTGTTCTTCTTTACCTTTATTTCTTTCTTGTTCTCTGTTACTGTCCTTTCTCTTTGATAATGTTTATTCTTCAGTGGAATATTTGTGGATTTTGTGCCAACTTCTAATTACAGAGTTTTCACCACTTTGTGTTTGTCCCCAGGAACCCATGCTTGGTGCTCGTCCTGGTCACTGTCGTGGTTATTCCTTTTTTTCTCTTCCCCCCCCCCCCCCTAGCTCTTGCTGAGGCCCATAACTCTACTGCTCTCTTAATTCGATCTGATATTCCCTTCGTCCCCCTACTTCTTCCGTCACCTCTCCGTTGTTCTGCTGCCTGTGTTTTTGTGGGTAAATGGTATACAGTCTGTTCCGTTTACCTCCCTCCAAATATCCTGCTTTCCCTTCCTGATCTTAAGCACCTCCTGGACTCCTTGCCAGAGTCGGTGCTCCTTTTGTGTGATTTCAACTGTCGACATTCCCTCTGGGGTGATGTTCTGACAAACACCCGAGGCCGTCTTCTCGAACCGTTCGTCCTCGCTTCTTCTTCTCTCTCTCTCCTGAATTCTGGTGAGCCCACTCATGTGGACTCTCGAACTCGCACCCTTTCCTGTCTTGATCTTTCTCTCTGCTCGTCGTCCCTTTACTTAGATTTCACGTGGCAGGTTCTTGATGACCTCCATAACTTTGATCATTTCTCCATCCTCGTTTCCTTTTTCTCTTTCCACCCTCCCCTCTCCTTCCTTAGGTGGCAGTTTGCCAAGGCTGACTGGTGCCTATTCACCCTCCGTGCTACTCTCTCTGACCTCTCCTCTCTGCCTCTTCCTCGCGCCCTCCTCCTTTTTTATGACACTATCTTCAATGCTGCCCTCCGCTCTATTCCTCGCTCTTCCTCCCGGGGCACACGGAAGTGCGTTCCCTGGTGGAATGCGGACTGTGCTCGGGCTGTCTGCTGTAAGCTTGCAGCCTGGAAGAAACACCGCTGCCGGCAGACGGCTGATTCTTTTATTCGGTTTCGGAAGGCAAGTGCGGTGGCCCGTAGGACCAACAGTACTGCTAAACGTGAGAGTTGGAAATCTTATGTTTCCGCCATTACGTCCGATACTCCTCTGCCGCAGATCTGGAAGAAGATCTGCTAGATTGTGGGCAAGTTCGTTCCAGACATCTCGCCGGTTCTCCACCTCCATGGAACTCTTGTGGCGGATCCAGTGAAGGTCGCGACCGAACTGGGTTCCCACTTTTCTTCTGTTAGCTCTCGTTCTCATCTTCCTCAATCCTTCCTTCTTCGTAAGCCTGTTCTTGAATCTTATCCTTTAGATTTCCACACTCATCTCCGCCTTCCCTATAACGATCCTTTCTCTCTTTCTGAACTTCAGTCTGCCCTGGCCCTCTGCGGATCTATGGCAGCGGGCTCAGATGACGTTCATTATGAGATACTTCTCCATGTCCCTCCGTGCACGTCTCAGTATTTACCGAGTCTGTATAACCAGGTCTGGGAGTCGTCGTTAGTCCCTGAGGACTGGCTCGATGCCATTGTACTCCCCATTCGGAAACCAGGGTCTCTCGGTACGTCCCCTAAGGACTTCCGCCCTATTGCTCTCACGAGTTGTGTTTGCAAGCTCTTTGAGCGTGTGGTAAATATCCGTCTGATGTGGTTCTTGGAACACCATCACCACCTCTCTCCTTCTCAATTTGGTTTTCGCAAGTGCCGCAGCACGACTGATGTACTGGTGAACTTGGAGGTCTATATTCGTACTGCTTTTGCTGCGAAGACCTCCGTTGTTGCTGTCCTTTTTGACCTGGAAAAGGCTTATGACACGACTTGGAGATACCATATTCTGTCCCAACTTCGTTCTTTTGGCCTTTGTGGTAATGTCCCTCTCTTCCTTCAAAGCTTTCTCTCTCATCGTACCTTTCAAGTCAGACTTGGTACCACTCTCTCTGCTTCTTTTCGGCAGTATGAAGGTGTGCCCCAAGGTAGTGTTCCGAGTACTACATTTTTTTCTGGTTGTCCTCAATGGTCTTTTTTTCTCCCTTCCTTCTGGCATCTTCTCTGCTATTTATGTTGAAAATCTTAGGTTTTGCTGTCAGGGTGATGATTCGCCTCTCCTTCAATGGCAGCTTCAACTTGCGATTGATGCCATGTCATCTTGGGCCACCAATCATGGCTTCAAGTTCTCTAGTACTCTGCCATGACTTTTACTCGGAAGCGGGTCGTTCTTCGTCCCTCTGTCACTTTATGGTCATCCCCTTGAGTACAAAGCTTCCACGAAGCTTTTGGGGTTATTCTTTGACACTCGTTTGTCTTGGTCGCCCCATGTCTCTTACCTCCGTGTTGAATACTCTAAGGCACTTAACCTACTTAAGGTTTTGTCGCATACTTCTTGGGGAGCGGATAGGCGCACGCTCCTCTATTTGCATTCCTCTCTTGTCCTGTCTAAACTCGATTATGGTTGCCCTGCGTACTCTTCTGCTTCTCCTTCTACTCTTCGCCGTCTTGATCCTTTGCACCATACTGGGTTGCGCCTCAGCTCTGGTGCTTTTCATTCAACTCCTACCCTCAGCTTGTACGCTGACACTGGCTTTCTGTCTCTCCAAGATCGCCGTGATCACTACAGTCTTCGCTATCTTGCGCGATCCTTACAGCATCCTCACTCTCGCCTCTATCGTGCTTTGACTTTTACCCCTCCTGTAGTTCCTCTTCACCTTCCTCTTTCTGTCCGTTGGTCTCGCTTACAAGATTCTCTTTTGGCTTTAGGGTCCTTTAATCCGGTCCACCCGGTGGTCATCGAGATTCAACATTGGCTGTTTTTTATCTCCAGTAAATTTAAGTCGGTGGCGTTTTGCTGGGTTCCCAGCCATGTTGGTGTCTCTTTAAATGAGCGTGCGGATGCTGCCGCTAAGGACGCTATCCCCGCACTTGTCCCATCTCCCGTAAAGGTATTCCTTATTCCGACTTTTACCCAGATATTCATGCCTCCATCCTTGTCCGCTGACAGAGTTGTTGGTCTTCTGTTATTGGTAACAAAATGCGTACTCTTAAGAGTCGTGTGTTCCAGTGGCCTTCCTCCTGCCACCGTAACCGGCAGTGGGAAACGGCTCTGGCTAGGTTACACTTTGGCCATACCCGTTTAACTCACGGTCACTTAATGGAGCGCCGCCCTGCTCCTTATTGTCCAAATTGCATTGTCCCTCTTACAGTCATGCATATCCTTGTTGAATGTCCCGACTTCCAGGACGAGCGTGTGTCTTGTTTTCCGACCGTCCCCTGCAGTCGCTTGTCCCTCGATGGAATTCTTGGCGACTTGGATGCTTTTGATATCATTCGCCTTATGCGTTTCTGTTCACGTATTGGCATCCTTGGTGATATTTAGCGCCCTCTGATTATCCCGCACATTTGATGGTGCTACATAGCCTTCCCGGTTTGGTGCCTTCTATTGGTAATTACTTACTTTTCGAATACTGTGCATATTTACAGTGTTTTGTTTTGTTCGTCTATATGGGTTCCAGTACTGTTGAGCCTAGCCCCAAGCTGGCTCGGGAAGTTGCAAGTTTCCCGAAACCCCCCTCTAGGTAGGCATTAGTGAATTTCATGGCAGCAAGATAACTTATTGTCTTTACAAGAGCTCTTCTGATGAAGATTAACTTCAAATGAAGAGGTAAAACCTTGTTGTGTTTGGACTTGAGTTTGCCAGTTTATGAAGAGGTCTTAAATATTTATGGGGTTGAAATCCATTACAGTATAGTGTGTGTGTGTGTGTGTGTGTGTGTGTGTGTGTGTGTGTGTGGAACTGAAGGATTCTGTAATCACTGTTTATGCTTATATATTTTATTTTCTGAAGTATTCAAGAATAAATGTATTTCTTTAATTTTAATCTATTTTAAGCATGTATTTTATATGGTATGTTAAATAGGGAAGTAAAGATGGAGATTTTATTTTTGTGTTATAGTTAGCTTTAGTAAAAAATGCCTTTTGTTACTGTTTTGTGTATTGTGGTATTATGCATAATTATTCAATTTTAAGTGTACTTTCACTGACATTGCAGCTATAGTGGAATTACAAATTTATTAGCATTCTGAGGTATTATTTGATATGCTACAGAAAACTTTTTATAGATGGGGAAACTACTACATACAGTGGGTAGATATTTTATTTGTCACTATATGCAAAGCTGAGGTTTGTATTTTAGTGTTGTACATATTTTGATTTATAAGACGAGGCTTGAGTGTCAGTAGTACAAGTAATTAGCGAGCATGTAGTGAGGCAAGATTTGCTTTAAACTGTTTCTCATTATTTTTATTGAATATTGTTGACATAATTTTGTTTGACAATGCATGTAATATTTTGTAACCCGATATTTGTTGTATCCCATTTTTTCATTTATTTCTTATTTTTATCATAGCATTCTAATTTTCAGTTTGTAGCATGTTGGTGTAAGCAGATGGTCACTTGTTGTTGGGTGAGCCGAGTACCACACACCAAGTTTGTTTTGTTGATTTGGTAATGTATGCTACCCCCTTTGCCCAGTATCACTGCACCTCACTTTTATGATTTGGGAATGTCCATCATATTCTTTTCCTTACAGTTGTAGTGCAGTCGTGCGGCGTATGCTGGCAGTAACAAGGGTTCTCCCCCCTCTCTCTTTACCTTTGCAGCACTGATCCCCATCTCATCCTCTTCTCAATAGTGTTCCAAGGTAGTCGCCAGCAACTCTGCTTCACCATGGGGAGATGACGACAAGTTGACATCCGCCAAACATGCAGCATCGGGCGATGAGGATCCCTTCGGTTCGCCATTCTCAACGACGAAAGACAATTTTAGAAGTGGTGAAAATTCCCCTTGGCCTCAAGATGCCTTCGGATCATCAGGGTTTGGCTCTGATGAAGGATTTGGGGATTCTACTGCATTTGCCCAGCATGATCCATTCAGTGGATCCTCTGGAGCTGCTGATCCTTTTGGTGGGGACTATGACCCCTTTAAGGATCAGGGCTTTAAGGATGCTGACAAATTTTCCTGGGAAGATGAACCAGACCCTTTTAATACATTAGCTAGCAATGCAGGTGTAAGTGCTTCTGACAACACTCTTGATAATGCAGCATTTAACAAGACTGATCCTTTTGGTTTCCATATTAATGAAGATGATGCCAATGCTAACGTGTCCACAGAGTTTTCTAGCAAAGATCCATATCGGTTTTCTTTTAGTAATAAAGATCAGTTTGATTCAAACCAAAATAACCGGTCCAAGTCTGTAATTGGGGATCCATTTACGCACCAGACAAAAGAAACTATCCCCATGCGATCTAAAACTTCACTTGGTAACCCACTAGATGTTGACACTGATTTTGACCCATTTTCATCCTCAAAAGTAACAAAAGCAGAGAAGAACAAATGGAAGAGTAACGAGGACCTTTTAAATGAAAGCTTCGGCCCAGGTGATGGATGGGGCAGTAATAGTGGAACTCGTGCCAGTACTGCCAATGCCTTCGGTGATAGCTTCAGCAGTAAACCTCTTAACAAAGGTATACACAAGCCAACTCACTTGGTGACAGAAGATGAACAGCTAGCTTGGGCAGCCCAGGAAAGTATTAGGATGGAGGCGTTTCGGAAGCAGCAGGAAGAACAGGAGCGTGCTGAGCTGGAGTTAGCACTCTCGCTCTCACGTTCTTTAACTCATTCTCCAGGCAGGCCTCAGTCCTCACGATCACCGTCAACGGGCCTCTAAGCATTGGACGTGGAAAAGTTAGTTGTACATATGTCTAAAACTATTATACGAAGAAATTGTTATGATATTAATGTTGAAATTTAGAATATAGTATAGTTGTTTTCTTGTTTAAAAAGTGTTTAGTCTTGGAATTTATTGCTGCTTTGTTACACAAATTTATCTGATTTGGCTAGCTTAAATGTACTGAAATGTAACATATACACAACTTGCAAGAGGTCATGTTCTCCTTCTGCATTTCTTACTTTACCAAATATACTGTAATGTGTTTCTTGTTGAAGTAAACATAATAATCACCTCTCAAAATGGTGAGAGAGAGAGATATATATATCATCATGAATCAAATGGCTATTCAGTTTCTTTTCTTTCACATTAACAATGCTCATAATACCCATTGTTTGCCATTACACATATAATTATACTTTCCAAAAGAATTATGTGAAATGGCCAGCCAATATTTTTGACCAGTATTGTCAAATTGAATATCAGCTTTTTACAGGGGGAAAAAGAATGCACTGGATAAATTTCGTGCCATGGTTGACCTTCATCAATTTGGGCTTATTGCCAAATGAAAGGTAGCTATTGCATGGGGAAGTCTCGTGCAATGGAGTATAATATAGATCGAGTAAACTGTTGGTGTGTGCGTGTTGAGGGTGCCATTACCAGGTATAGGATGGCTCGTGCCCGTAATAGTCAAACACAAGCTTGTAACAGACCATTCCCAGTCTCTCCAAAGGATCAAGTCTGGATTCAGGTTTTAATATATTTTTGTAAGTGTGTAATTAAGTTTGTAACATTGTAAATATTTTCCATCATTTTTTTTTTCTCTTGAGATCAGGATTTGGTTTTTTACTCCTTAGGACTTATAGAATTATTTAGATATGACACAGAAATGTGCTTGTTGAAGATTTTTATATCGCCAAAAAATGTGCTCATATTTGCGTGTATAGTATGGAATATTTTAAATATTATGAGTTCTTTCATTTTAGGTTTTGAATGAATAAAATGATACCTTTGTGTATGTTTTCTGTAAATTGTATGCAGATCTATTTTATTTATTTATATATAAAGATTTATTGCAGGAAATTTCACTCAATTATTTACTTTGATTTGTGTAATAACATTAAGGAAATTTTTGAATATATGTTAATAGCCAACATGAACAAAAAATAATTGAAGCATTATGTGAACACCGAAATTAAGCATGAAGGTGAATGAAGCATTCCTGTACAGCCTTTCTGCTTATGTCTTCCAAAGAAAAAACGAAAAAAACAAAAATAATATCTCATTCCTCCTGGCCCCCGACTTCATTTGTTTTGGGCCATGGTCCACTACCTCGAACCCTACTGACTGACGCACATGGGAGAACAGGTGAGCAGTGTAAGGGTGTGACAATAGTTGAGATACCGACATGGTGTGTGTGGGTGGGGGGGTGGGAGAGGGGGGGGGATGGTTGGCTGGCCAGTATCCTTCAGTTTTCTTAACTGCCAAATCTCGCTGTTGGTGGTTGCTCTGTTCATTTTCCTTTATGGAATTCATATTTTGAAATTTCTAAAAAGGATAACATAAAGTCTGGAAAATCAAAATACCGTGAAGCTAACTAAAATGAAGGCATGAGTTTTGTTTTGATGTAAATTACAAGTCATGGCAGAATTAAGTTCATTGTATGGTACTTGGGGGGGCTTTCCATGGTCTTCCACAAACCCGTGTTGGAAGTGGGTACTTGTATGCTTTGCAAGTTTCGTGCCAGTGCGCCAAACTTTACTGAATTTCAACATAATACTTGTGTGTGTTAGTTATTTTGCAGTCAGTAATACGCTCATGAATTCAGTTTTTTTTTTATTACTTCAACAAAACTGACAGGAATATCTGATGCAATTGATTCATGTCCTCGTGCCCAGCAGTCAAGTGCTTAGTGAAAGTATCGCCCGTCCTAGTTGTTTCATTACGAGAATGCTACATTACTGTCCATGAATGCGTTTTGTCGAAAGCATTTGGCACTGTTTGACAGGCAATATTAATATTACTGTGAGAGAGAGACAGAGAGGATATAGTGAGCACTGTCTGTGGGATTTACTTTGTATTGTGGCATAATATGAAACTATTGGGGTAATTTTTTCACTACACAAATGGCCATTTTAGTGGTGGTGGTCTGATGATTATTAGTAAACTGCTGACAACCAAGAGACTTGCTAATTCACAAACATTGGGCAGTTAGTAGATTAACATTTTTAACACATGCCTTTGTTAACTAAAAATTAGTTTGATACAAATTCTGCATGTTAGTCAATAATTGGTAATATGTAGTAACACAATAAAAGTTCTGTTAAAAGCTGATTGCATTGATGAACAATGTTGTACGTATGATGTAAAATGCCTTACTGGTTCCAGGAAGAAGTTGTGTTGTAGATGAATATTGTGGTGTATAAAGAGGTGTCCAGGTGTAACTGGAATCTTTCTCCTGTTTCTTTGTAAATGTATCTGTGACATACTCGTGTACCGAGGTAGTGTACCATTAAGCTAGTGTAAAAAGGCATAGTGATATATATTAGTGGATATCCTAGTTCTCCTTGTCACCTATTTCCCCCTTCCTGTCTACCCAACAAGTTGTTATTTAAAGTGCATTTTGATGAATATAGAGATCAGTTGTTAGGCCAAAGGCAGTACTGTATTGTATTGTATTAGGAGGCACATAGATTAGCAGCAAGTGGTCTGTGGTGGAGAGTGCTCAGGTTGTGGTCTGACTTATTTCTTAGGCATTTGTGTTGAGTAAAATGATCTTATTTTGATTGGCTGCGGACAAAACACTACTGTAGCCTACTCTTCCAGCTTTAAAATTATCATTGCTACCTCCAAATTAGTATAATAAGTTTTAAAGAGTTGAGAATATAAATAATTACACAGAAGTGTTTAAATTAAATAGAAAGAAAAATAAGATGTCTATTGAAATCATGCAATAATGTATGCCAAAAATAAAGAAGGTATAGGATCAGTTTTTGCTATTCTAAATTTTCATTTTTTATGTTCATTCTTAGGCAGGTAATTTTGTTAAAGCTTAAAAAAAATAGAAGCACCAATTTATTGAATGTTTGTGTGTGTGTGTTAGGAGGTCATGAGGCTTCCCACCTCTTATGACTATCTTGTTGTAGGGGAAGTGAGTTCATGCTCAAACCTCCTGGCTGAGGGTCTGAGCAGTCAAAATACTGGCGCTTGCAATTTGACTGACACCAGAGCCCAGTTGATTGGGGGTACCCTTGGGTGTTATTGCATTCTCCCTCTTGGACACAATTAGGGGACCTGGACCCTGATTCATATAGCAGTTACGCAAGCACCTTCGAACCTGTACATCTTTTCCCAATCTTTGGCAGCTTTGTTTACAATTATTGAACAGTTAATGAGCTTCGAAGCACCAGGAGGCTGTTTATAACAATAACAGATGATTGGGAAGTTTTAATGCTTGCAAACTTTAATAAATGTCACCAAAGCCGTCAAAGATTGAGGAAAGATGTACACGTTCGTAAGTACTTGCATAACGGCTTCATGAATCCGGGTCCTGGTAATTTCCTTTGTATTTAGAGGGAGGGTGTTAAGTATGCAATAAAATGGTTGTGCAAAAGGTACTCGTGCACAACCATTTTGTTATTGGAGAGGCTGCCTGGACAGAAAAATAACTGTTATTATGTTCTTTTAATATGTTATCTTTACTTTCCTATCCATTAAGTTGTAATACTGTTATGAAATTGCCCATCAAATAAATGTAAGATAATGTATTCCTTCTTTTCAATGGTTGATGAGAAGCTGAGGTTAGAAGCATTAGGATGGTTTGACATGGCATTGTAATTTAGTTCAGACTGTTGTCAAGAAGTTTTGCAGCCCAAACAACTTTTATGTACCCTACCTGTGGCACTCACTTTTTACTGAATGTGTATATGTCTTTGATACATCTATACTCGTTGTATTTTGCTTTTGTCCCCCATTTTCTATTTTGTGAGAGAGAACTGCATGGTGAATGCCTGCCTGGCTGTTGTTGCCTTACATGTACTTGTACATGTCAGTATTACATCATCAGTATCAAGGGAAGCTGGTGGTGGTAGGTAGATGACATGACACTCTACATACAGAGAATATTTTGTAGTTAATTTTCTTGCATAGTTTTAAATGATATTATCACTAGAATTTATGTTTTGATTACATGTTTCAGTCGATAAGTTTTTTTTTTTTTTTTTTTTTTAGAATGGTATACACTTGGGGTTTTATATTGAAGTAACAGGAAAACATATTGAAACTTATACATTATTATGTACACCAACGTATCGATAACATTGCTTATGTGCATGTGCCCTTTTATGAAGGAAACTAGCCAGATAATCCAACCAATGTGTTGTGTGTTTTGAGTGCTGTAGATTCATAAACGCCCAGGACAATACCACATTACATAACGGCTGTAGTTTATACTGTATTAGGTTAGAACACAATTGTTAAATATCTGGTTAATAAAGATTCGTGTCATTGAAACACAGGAGATAACCTCACAGACGTGTACAATGTGGTATGGTTTTGCGAGTTGTGGGTGATGACAACGATTGGTACTGGTTGGTTCTGCGATTGGTACTGGCGAGTGATTGCATCTGCTCAAAATTTCATAGGGTACATTATTGAACACATGTAAATAGCATTCTGTGCTCCAAACTGTTCAAATTGAATCTCAGTTATTGATATATCCGAGTATTTATGTTCATGTACCGTAATATAACCGTGAATGTGTGTGTGTGCGCATATTTAATATTTTTAATGATGAGTAATTCAAGTTTTCAAACATTTTTTGGAAGAAAATTGAAACAACTATATGATCTGGTCTTGGTGTAAAGGATGCAATGTGTCATTAGTTTGAGGAAATTTTGTATAATTGATAGATTAATACTATGACAAACGGCTTTTCTTTGCATCCATAATAATTCATGCGTGTATGTGTGTGTTTCCATGTGGTCCCCCATGCAGTTGCTAGCCAAATCCAGCGGTGCTTAACGTGACAGTATATTGTGCACCTAATTTTTGTGTATGCACCAATTTGTTTCTTGTCACACAGATTCATATTTCATACATAATTCCACTACAGCATCCATCAAAGTTACTGTGTAAAACCAAACATTATTTAGTGTACTCGTGTTTATGTTCCAATGGGTGAAGAGTATGTATGTCTTGTGTAACCTGTGTGCTGTTAACTTTAATTTATTAATGTGTGACTGCATACTTTTTGATGTGCAGTTTTGCAGAATTTCGAAATATTGATAATTTGTGGCATTGTGTTGATATGGCTGGTAAACCTCCCATGTGACTTGGTCCAGTACGAGAGTTGTGCGAGGAGTATAGTAGCTCTCATTCTGCCGTGCCAGTTCGGTGCCACCACCACCACCACCCTTCAGGTTACCTCCAGGTAATCTTTCTCCCTACTCCTAAGCCTGGCCTTCTCTTGCCACTGGAGGGCTTGTTGCGCTTTGACCACAGCTTTATATTTGATTCCACTGTAAGTTGGTTGTAAGTTGTCTGTGTGTGAATTGTAGCAAGAAATATTGACATGGCTCAGCGATTTGAGAGATGTACTCTTGTTTACTCTTAAGCTCCAGTGGTGACGACAAGAATTGGTGCCTGAGTCCATTGCCTTTTTCTCAGACTCGATGTTTTTAATCATATTTGAACCTGCATGGAAAAATGTTTTGTGTTCTCATCATGCTTCTTTATTATGGATGGTTATCATGAAATTACAAAAAATTAGTAGATACAGTACTGTCAGTGTTACTTATTTGAAATACCGGCATAGTTGTTTATTTTCACAGAAGTCAGATTTAAAGGGGGGAGGTATTTTTTTTCTTGCAAAATAATTTGGCAGTTTATTTGATGTTAAAAGTTGGTGTTACTTTTTCCACCAACTAGGGCATATTTCCCCATTTACTACCACAATGAGGGAACCCTTGGATGCTCCCATCTATCAGTCGTGTTGTTCAGTGTCACCGTCATGTTATCTCAATGTAAATAATGCTTAATAAACAAACACGTTCACCAATTTCTTAAATGTTATTTACCTTTTATTTAGGCATTGTCTCACAGGTGTGATTCATTTATTATGTACCCCATACCTATTCTGTGGGCAGTGGTGAAAAGGGTCACCGGTACATATAGGCTCGGAAACTGAACCACATAAAATGAACATATCCACAAGGGCCTCGATGAGGGTTCGAACCTACGCACGGGATGTTCCCAGATGCGCATTGGTCTACATTTTTAGTCTTTATTGTTTTTTTTTTTTATATATCACGCTATTGTGATTTCTGTGTGTATTGAACCCCATAGTTTAGCCAAGCAAGTGACAATCTTGTGAAGCAAGTTTCACAATTGTTAACATTAAATACACATGCATACGTATGAATATACAGTATATAATCTTTACATCAAGGGATTCAAAAGGCCCACAACTGTTTTATACAAGGTTCTTTACATCTATGGTGAAAGTTATTATTCCTGCTCCACACCCACCCAACTGGGCGGCAACTTTACAGTCATGTCCATGCATTACTTACAGTAAGCAAATTTTGGATACTTTGCAAAAATTCCTGGCAGTACGTTATGAATGAAGTACTTGTACATTTCTTGGACATCATTAAGAGGTGTTATCTCCGAATTCTGCGATTTTTTCACATTTCCATTATATAATGACTGTATGTGAATAGTTCTGCTGACAGTTTACATTTGGTCAAATAGGTATCGGCAGATGTTGCAACTACCAGAGGTACTGGTAGTCGAACCTCTTACCTAGCAGTGGTAACATCTAGAAGTCTGTTGACCTTATTGGATGACCCATAGACGTGCGGTTCGCGGTTCTTCCTGCATAATATAGTTATAGATGGAGGAACTGGTGTGAATTTCATTTTGCTTCAAGTCTATTAGCTTTGTTGCTCTTCCTGGAATATTACTGCCCTCAGGTTGCTCAAAGCCAATCCAAGATGGTAATCAATTCCCTCTTTTGTAAGATTGTTTTGGCTAACTCGTCAATTCTATCATGCATTCGGAGACCAATATGGGAAGACCTCCATTGGAAAGAAACTCTTGACTCCATCATTGACTATTGCATTACTGTATATCTGTGTCTAGCTTCAGACACAGCACGTAACAGTTATGCCTTGGGGAGCCGAGTGCAGTCATGGGTGACAAGGAGTCACAAACAATTCCCGTGTCTATTTTGAATTCATATACTCGTTCGAGCGCCTTATGCGCTTTTGTTCTCGTATTGACATCCTTAGTGATATTTAGCTCAATTTGAATATCCCGCGCATTTGATGGTGCTACATTGCCTTCCCGGCTTAGTGCCATCTTTTGATTCATTTATTTTTTTCTTCAGGAAAATTCCTGCGCGGGCCCTAAGCCTCTGGCTGGCCCACTAAGTGTTGCTTGTTTCTGTTTTACTTGAACTGTGTGTGAGTATTTATGACTGGTATGGTCGCTTCAGTAAGATTTTGTCCCATGGTTTAACAAGTATTTCTGCTCTGTTAATTCCAAGTTGAAATCTTAATGGGTTTGTAACTGTGCACTGTGTTAGATAATGTTCCAGTGATCTGTCGGGCATTTCTCCACAGTGCTGACATTTCCTCTCATCTTTCGGAACCTGTAAGCCTATTTCCCATGCACATGGATATCCAAGCCTGATGCGATGGAAGTGTACTTCTGTTGCTCTACTGCTCCCTTTCATCAAACATATACAGAATTCTTGGGAAATCAGAAACCTTTGACGTCGCTCTCGCATTGGCTTTCCAAGTAATATCTATGGCCTTTGCTATCCTGCTTTGGTGCCTTCTTTTGATAATTACTTACTTTGCTATCCTGCAACAGTTACTGTGCTAAATAGATTTTGCAGCTTGGTGCTGCATTTGGATAATTACTTATTTTCAGGATGATTGTAAATCTTGCTTTTCTAATGTCCCTTAGAGTTGCTTGACCCTCGATAACATCCGGAATGGCGAGTCTAATGTCTTTGATCATGCATGACATATGTTCTTTGTTCTCTTGTATTGGCATCCTGAGGGATGTTGACCAGACCACACACTAGAAGGTGAAGGGACGACGACGTTTCGGTCCGTCCTGGACCATTCTGAAGTCGATTGTGAGAATGGTCTCGAGTCTCAATCGACTTGAGAATGGTCCAGGACGGATCGAAACGTCGTCGTCTCTTCACCTTCTAGTGTTTGGTCTGGTTAACATTCTTCAGCCACGTTATTGTGACTCATCGCCTGCATCCTGAGGGATATTTAGGACTTTCACCTGTTCTGCAATACTACCACCTTTCTTAACCTGCGCACTGAACAATCATATACCACCTTCCTAGATCTCAAGTCTGCCTTTGATATTGCAAACCAACGTGTCATTTTCAGTGAGCGTGCGAGAACGAATATGGGTGGTCGGGTTCTTTTTTGGATCAGAGGTTACTTGTCCAACAAGAAGTCATCTATATTATTCCAGGGGCATATAGGAGAGTAACAAGAGACTTTGACCTGGGCACCCCACAGAGAGGTGCCCAACCTTATTTAAAATTTTAGTAAATACGCTGTTAAACTGTGTGCCTGGGAAATGCAACGTCGTGCACATCGTTAGCAATGCTGATGATTATAATGATACCATTAGGAACATTTCTTAAATAAAAGGGATCAAATTAAAATCAATGTTTGAAACAGAAGTATTTATAACTTTTATGCTCATACCAAGAGTTATTATTGTTATTGTAATAATTTTTGCTTTATTTTTCTTAAAATAATGAGATGAAAATAGAAGAAAATATTGAAACACAGTACAAGACATCAGAAATGAGTATGTGAAAGCAAGAGGAAGATAAGAATTTGACAAAATATTGGAACGGGAGGCGGGAAACAAAATATTGGAACGGGAGGCGGGAAATGAGCCGCCAACACAACAATGCCGGAGAGAGATGGACAACTTGTTCTCCTTCTGGGACGTTTACAGACCAACACTCAACGTTACGGGATGCCGGCCCAGGTCCCTTGTAACCCTAAGTATTCTGGGTACTGTTTTCTGTAGTGTAATAGATAAAGAGTTAAGAGAGGAGATTGAATTATGTATGCCACTGTGAAGGCCGCCATGTTTGATCAGACAGTGGCCATTAATATCACCTTAATCAGAGATTAATACTGCCTTATGTTATATATTGATACTCTAAGGAGCGCAGTACTTTGGTGTATTGTCTATGATTTTATATTACATTATCATTTTGTTCCTGGAGGTATTATATTGATACAGAGGTGACATATTGTAATGTACGATTATATTACGTTGTTGGCTATATTAGATACACAGTGTTTAGTGAGTTTCATATTTATTTAGTAGTTTTGATTACAGTTGGTTGTTGGCATTGTCGTAGACGTTGAGACGAAGCTTTGAGTAGAGCAGAGAGCTGAGTGAAGCCGGAGTCGCGGAGCTCGATGCGGGCGAGCGTGGCGGCTCCATGGGGAATCGTGAGTGTCTAAACTCGATGTGGTCGTAGTCTGCTGTCTGTTGTGTGTCGAAGCTGGAGCGTCTTGGGGTCGATTAGAACTGTACACGCCGAGTGCTACATTCTTGAGGTTGAAGAGGTGTGGTAAATCCGAAGCGTCTGTACTGAAGTTAACTGAATCACTGTGGAAATTGTCTGTTGGCTATTCGTTTGTTGTTGTTATAGATTCAGCTACTCGGAACAAGTTCCAAGTAGCACGGGCTATGGTGAGCCCGTAGTGAACTTGCCTGGCACAGGAGCGGTGCGTGTGTGTTGTTGTTATTGGCTATTCGTTTGTTGTTGTTTTAGATTCAGCTACTCGGAACAAAAGTTCCAAGTAGCACGGGCTATGGTGAGCCCGTAGTGGACTTACCTGGCACAGGAGCAGGGCTGTAACTCTGTTGGCTATTCGCTTCCCGATGCTTATATTATTGGACTACACCTCAGCTTCCTCCCATTGGATGGAAAGAATGTTACCTGTAATTAGGGAAAAGATTATTGCTTCGCAATTAGTGCTAATTGCTTTTGTCATTAATGTAATGAGAGGTTGGAGCGAGTATTATGTTTACTCGCTACAACATATTAAAAAAATTCAAAAGGTCAGATGTAACACAAACAAGGAGTAATGGTTTCAAGCTCAACAAGCCATAATCTAGGATTGAAAAGAGATACTTTTTCACCCACAGAGTTATAAACTCATGGAACCGCCTACCCGCCGAAGCCATCAATGCCAAAACTGTTAAATTTTACAAATCTAACTGGAAAAGATCATCAGGGCAAATGGGGGGGACCTTCGACAAGCCGCCGGCTTCTTGTCCTCGTCGAGGCCATAAGTGTTAGTGGTCCTTCAGGTAAATTTAGGTAAATGTAGACCTGTCCAAATGTAAATTGTGTCAACTACATTATTCGCACACCCTACGTCACTAATGTGGAGTGGAAAGAAATACGTGAATTCAGAGACAATAACAAATGTTCAAGAAATATATCAATATTTCATTCAAAATGATTTACTAGCAGAAATTTGAGCCAAATATTCCCAGTCAACTGTAGGTAGCAAATATGGGTGAGTGTAACCTATCCACCGCTGCCCACTGGATGGGTATGGGGTGCTTAATAAGTAAGCTAAACTAGATATTAATATCAATTTCTGAAATTTGCGCTGTACTGCCTTAAATATACATTTTCTTTATTTGTAGGAGTTAAAGAAAACAAAATAACTCACAATGGTCTCTGTATGGCTCTCGATATTTGCCAGAGTTTGGTTAAATGGAAGAAAAACACTCGGGACGAGGTTCAGAGTGGTTCGGAACGGAGGTGTGGTTCGAACAGAGGACGTGAGCGAAGCACTTGTTCCGGAAGTGTTCGGACGTCATCAGTTGTGAGTCGTGTGTAACATCCTGCATCCTGTCCTCTAAACAAAGTCCCAAAGTCCATTCCATGTACCCACCAAACCCGCTGTTTATGAATGAAAAACGGTTTATCCCACGACTCACAACTGATGACGTCCGAACACTTCCGGAACAAGTCCT